GATTTTAATGTTAGTTCACACCAGGTAATAATGGCCATAGTTATGACAAACAAAGGATACATTTTGGTGTAAAATAGCATGATTTTAATGTTAGTTCACACCAGGTAATAAAGGCCATAGTTATGACAAACAAAGGATACATTTTGGTGTAAAATAGTGAGATTTTAATTTAAGTTCACACCAGGTAATAAAGGTCATAGTTATGAAAAAGTTCAAACTAAAATTTTGGTGTAAACTAATTTGACTTTTAATCCATGTACAAACCTGTAAGAAAAAGTGAAATTTTGAGACAACTGTGTGCTGGACAGCCTCAAAATACTTAACACAGCACTACAGATTTAGCATATGGACTGGGTCTTAATTTTCATGGACTGAGAAATTTTGGTGGCATTTATTCATTTTATTGTACAAAAATCCTGTTCATAGTTTAAAACAATTATATAAGGTTTAATATCTTACAGTTTTCTTAGAAAATGAATACATTATTTGAATTTGAAACTGCTAGTGCTTAAAAAATCAGAATTTTATTAGTTATAAAAATATTGCAACTAGAATTCTTTAACAAATACAGAAGAGATAATGTTCTGTGACAAGTGAGCATATTAAGAATGATACTCTCTCCTTTTTTTTTTGGGGGGGGGGGGTAATTTTTCAGCCACAATACATCTTTCAAGATATATGCGTATCCGTAAATACTGGTTTGTGCAAGTCTTTAGAATTTTGGTTTCACATACAACTTAAAACATAAACATGTTACTTCAAGAAAAAATAATATACACTTAAACAGAATATTTAATTTTATGCTAAGTTCTAAAAAAGTGTATCGGTGAAATGCCTAGAACCAAATTTAAATAGAATAGCTTGAAAATTGACACAACAAGGAAGGGTTTTATTTCACCTTTTCCAAGTTCATGCTTTTCATTGTTGCATCCATAGCTTTCACCACTCCTGCCATCGACTGAGTAACCTTTTTGGTTGTTACAGCTGTTTGTACTCGGCTAGCCACCGCATCAATTCTCGCACTCATGCGTAAGTAGTTCAGGGCCTGGTTCTTTTGTCTGATTGCATTCTCTGCATGAATACGAGCTCCTTCAACATTATTCTTCTGAATAGCCTTTATACAAGAATAAAAGGTATTTCAATTCAATTACATAACTTGTTTTTGCAGTCACAAAGTTCAATTCTTTCTCTGTACATAAATCTGTACATTAAACAATATGGGCAATATTTTGAAAAATACAGCTATGTAAAATTTTGGTGAACCATTGCTTTATACATGTGACAGAATATTTCAACTCATTTTTTACTGTATCAAATGTATTATACAATAATCACAAAAAATTAAAGAAGCTCTTCCAATACAAGAACTCAAACCCACACTGAACCAACAGCAAGGAATACTTATATATCTATACTAAGTATTCCTCAATGTTAACTACCAGATAACAGATTAAATACTTACAACACCCCTACAATCTTATACTTATCATTACTGCTGTCTCCACAACTTGTGATCAATAATGGTAACTTTTTCAAGTCTCATTCTTAATCTGATGATGACCTGAGGAGATCGACACATTGTTACTTGTTTTGAGTTTTTAAATAAAGATTTTAATATTCATATCAGCTGTATCTATGATATGTAAATAAAACAAGATGTTGAACTTTGAAGTACTTTAACACTCTATACATAATCTTTGGCAAGATTACTATTATATGTAATTTCTTTACAATTTTCTTCACTACTGTTCAGTAATATATTGTTTTTGATTACGAACAGTTAAATTTCCATTTTGGAAATACCGATGGAGCTGAATATACTATAATGTGAATTAAACCCGTGCAATCCTTTTTATTGCTTTGTCTGTTGTTGTTTATTTAATTTCATGCAAAATTTGAAGCGACAGACAAGTGGAAAGGCAGTTAGTCAAAAAAGAGAAAGAAAGAAAGATGAAATTAAACCCAAAAGAAAATTTTACAAACTACTGGATAATTGAATTCTTTAATGACTATTCTAAGAAGTAAAAAGCCTGAACTTTATTCAGTGAAATTTATTTTAACTACTTTAGTAACGATTGTATTTACTACATAAGGTAATATTAGGTACTCAACATACCATATATTTTAGCACCTAAAACTTGTAAAACAGTTGCAAGTAAAAAAAAAATGAAAGGAACATTGCTACAGAGCAAACTGAATAATTCACTGTATTTTCGGTTTGTACGGTTATCACGAAACTTGTATTATGGATTACAAAACTGTCTTGTTTCTCATATCAGTATCTATTATGAACCAACACTTTAAGCAACACAATATCAATTTTATGTTGAACAAAAGAAACTACCAACCAATATATCTTTATGTACTTTCATTATTTAAACAGAAGCATTTAAACCTATGCGTGGAAAGTCAGACTGTTTGTAAATGATTTAAATGTGAAAAACTGAAGTACCACATGCTATGCTGTGAATATTTCTGTGTTAACTTGGGTCTTAATTTCTCAAGTTACTGTTTTTTACACTGTTCAACATCACTTGGATTCAAATATGGATTATACAAAATAATTCTATAAATTTTGACCTATTACAACTTCTAGTATAAAGAACTAGCTCAAAAAATCTCTCATACTTTATGTAAAATAAACAGAGCACACTTGTGGTAATTAGTGGAACTAATTGCGATACTAATGGTATTTTTGTTGACATTTCTTTGTGAAGCTTGTATAAGAGACCCAGTAACCAAGGTCCACAAGAAATTATGTGCATAAATAGTATAGAAAATTTGTTTAATAGCCAATGGTGTATTAACCCTATCAGTAAACCTCAGATTAAACTAAACTTAGAAATCGACAAAATTGTTTTAATTTACACTTCAAAATTTTTACTTTTATTGTAACTATTTAAATTATCATTTCTGAATTCTAGAACAAAAACAAACACATTAATAAAATATCTTTTCTACACAAGACAATTACACAAGCCAATAGTAACAAATATAAAACAAGATGAAGAAAAAACAATAAAAATATAAAATCAATTTGTAACAAGTTTATAGACAACAAAAGAACCATTTGGTCCTTTAATGTTGTTCCTGTACACTCACTTCTGAGAATAAGTAAAAATTTAAATCCACCCTTTATTTTTCAGGAAATTGTCTATTTTCCTTGTAAACTCTTGCAGAGTTCTGGCCTTCACTACTGTCTACAGTACCCACATTCTATAATATAATCACTCTTAAACAAATAAAACTGCTCTACCTGGAGCCTAGTTTATCATTTTTAAATCTTATGCTGATGTCCTTTCATCCTCTAGTCATTTTCGGAATGCAGAACAAAGAAACCAAAGTACTTATTGATTCTCTTGATAATTCTATAAGCTTTGAAATTTTATTTAACTTTTATTTTCTCAGGACAAAAGAGACCTTAAGTTATTTTCATAAGATAATCCTTCCACCTCTGGAATCATCTTACTTGTCACCTTTTGAACCATTTCAATAAGTAAATATCTTTTCTTAGATTAGAAGACCAAAATCACACAATATTCCAAGTGAGGCCTAACTAGAGATTTGTATAGAGATGATTATTTTCTTTGGACTTGCAATCAATATGTCTATAAATAATTCTAAAATTATATTAACCTTACTACAAACAATGGACCCATGTCTTATTGGTTAAAGTGATGTATTTTCTACTATTCCAAGATCCTTTTCTTTGGCCATACAACTGAGTTGGTTCCTATTTATATTAAACATGTCACCCAACTACAAGACTTTGAACCTCCCTATTATAATGTAAAAAAAAAAGGTCCAAGCACTGACCTCCAAGGCACACCACAAGTTATAAAGGTCCAGTTTATCTAAACATTAATAACAACTTTTTGCTTTCTCTCACCCGGCCACCCTTCATGGTAACTAGTCTCTTCTGAAACCCCAGTGATGTGATTCTCTTTGCTAAACATCTGTATGGTTCATTACCAGGTTTCTGAAAATCTAAATACATCATATCTACACCCTTTCAATTATTCAAACAACCAATAACATCCTCAAAAAAAGTTAACATGTTGATTTCATTTGTGACATCATATTTTCCTTTATGACTTTCTAAAGCTTCTATCAAACTATAACATTTCACACTATAGAAATAAGACTAAGACTTTTATCCCTTTATTACATTATTATGGTCAATTCCAATATTTCTCACACATTACTCAGGATCAAAAATACTGATCATATCTTTGCTTATTAAAACACACACACATCCAGCATCTTTGTAAACGGTGAATGCGATCTAGAGTATCTGAAATTTTTTTTATAAATTTTTGCACCAAGCTACACAAGGGCTATCTATCCTTAGCTATAACTAATTTTGAACTGATACACTAGAGAGAATGCAGCTAATCAAATTCCACTTCTAACTCTTGGCTTACCAAATAGTAGGATCTGACCATCACTCTTATAGCACTTCCATGGTCCTAAGTGTGGTTCAAAATTTAGCAGCAACAGACTGAACTATTGAATTCACAGCTGAAACATGTACCCATTAGGCCAGTGGTTCTCAAACGTTTTAGGCTTGTGTACCACTTTTTTGTTCAATTTTTTAAAATTACAAAACCAGCCGTAATTTAAAAAAAAAGATAAAAAACCTACTAACAAAAATTCACTTATCCATTAATGCAAAGGACTAATCCAGCACGATTAAAGAATATGTGGTACTATTTTTGTCAATTTGAAAGGAAGAAAATACTGGCGAGTCTATGTAAGTAGAGGGTAAGTCTATAAGTGAGGAGAGTAGTATGTATATGTATGTGCTTATTACAAATTTTATATTTTTTATGTTGTGTCATGTACCACCAACATTAGCTCCACGTACCACCAGTGGTATACATACCACAGTTTGAGAATCCCTGCATTAGGCTATGCCAACTCAGTATCTGTAAAGACGAAATAATGAAGTATATTGTAACCCTCGTGGAAACTTACCCTTTTCAGTTTTAACTTCTCGGCTTTTTCTTCTTTTTCACATTTTTTGGAATTTCTTACCAATTCTTTGGCAGCAAATTTTAAATTAAACAGATTTTCTGTTTACAAAAACAAATATTAAGGAGATGTACAAAACAAATCTGACTTAAATGACTCAATAACATCAAAAATCTAATATAATCCAAGAACACTATGATAATCCTACCATAAGAATGCTTTACTCAAATTGTACTTAACAATTACTTAACAAAACTTTTCTATAATGTTAAACAAAATAAATCCCAATATATTTTTTGGAATGTGCCACATGCCACTAATACAAGTTTTATAAAGTTCCATACCTCATCAGTAACCCCAGATAATAACAAATAAAAGAAAATATATTGGTGATCTGTAGTTTGTGAGTATTTTTGTTTTTAATTTTCATCATTTATCAAACATAACCAATATAAATACCTGCATTTAAAGAACAGATAATATCACTGGTTGAAGAGGGGTGGGGGACAGTATGCACCAGTACACAAACAAGTAAGAAACAAAATGGTGTACAACATACTGGCAAAATGTACAAGATGTGGGCACTTACTTGGGTCCCTTTGATAGTCCAGTGGTATACTTTCTTCCACCACTTCTGGATTTTGCGGTTGTGCATACTATAATGGTCCATGCAGTTGTACTCATTCATTGTAGTCATCCACAACTTTTGGCTTTACGATCGTGTTTGCTTCTGCTCCCTATTGAATGGTTTGCACCACAGCTTTGGTTGATACCAACATACATGGTTTTTTGCCTTTTTGTTCCTCCAACCAACACACAGTGTTTTTGTTCCCACATCCAAAAATCACCTCACCTGGTCACAGTTAATGTTCAGTATGCCAGTCTAATTGAAGCTGTGTGTGCGAAGATAGTTTACAAGAGCTGCTGAACTGTAATACCTGTTGACAAACACATGATGACCTGGTTGTAGAGGCTTCAGAAGAGAGTCAAAAACTTTGACAGCATGAATAGAGTTGGTGTCAAGGTCAGGGTTGTATGCTGTGCCCTTTCTGAAATAAATTTTTAAATTAACAACATAGCCCATTGTAGAATTGAAAAGCCCAAATGTCTTGATGCAATATTTTTGGAGTTTGCCTTTCCACTCGTTAACCTTCTCATCAATACACACATTTTCATATGGGTAGAAGGTAGCCTGGAACTTTTCAAACAACTTCTCCACAAATGGCTGTCTTTTCTTTGTCTTCAGCACCTGGTTTACAGACATGAAGTTTGCTGTGGTAGATGATCTCAAGTCTGTCCCTAGCAAACATCTGATGGTACCAGGGTGTGTAGAGATATTTATTAGTGGACCAGTTATCCCTGATCTTGGGGTCAAGGGTCAAAACACATAGCAACCAAAACTGCTGTAAACTTCAACCAGTGTAACTGGCATCCACGAGGCAAATGATGATCATTTTGTTGGAGGATTGTTTTCCTCCAAAACATTTGCTGCATATGCATTGATGCTAGAAATCAAAGTGGCCACAATTTCTTCATCAAGAAAAACTTTGAGGAAATCCAGTTGTGAATGTCTTTTATCTAAATTTAGCTTCATATTTCACTGTGGCACATGGAATGAAAAGTTCACATCAGTCTTCAATTCTTTACCATTCTCACAATCTCCTCCTGCTCCTACAACTGTTCTCTTCCTTTTGTTAGGTCTAGATCCAGACTATGACTTTCCTTTCCTCATAGTAGCACCACTGGTCTTTCCCTTGCCTTTACCTGTACTCACACTTGAAGGGCCTGCCACAGGACTATCTGTCACTTTCACTAGATCTATCCAAGTCAGATTTCTCACTTTCAAAATCATCATCAAGATCACTGGGAACAGTTATTTTCCTGGCTCAGAAATTCCTCAAATAACTTCTTAGTTTGCTCAGAAGTAAAACAACAAGGCCTACCAGAAGTAGTGCATATGATCATTTTCTTTGTTTCAAAATAGGGTTTCAAAACACTCTCATAAATTGCTGAAAACATATCTTTTTTCTATCAAATTGATGCTCAGATTGTAGATATTTCAATAATGGAAGCAGTTCTAGCTTTATATTGAATATATAAGGCATTCAAAATGAGGGATTGATCGTGAAATGGAACAAAACCTACAAGCCAATATATCAGCAGCTTGTCCAAGTAGGAAAATGAGCTCTCCAATATATCGGTTGGTTGGAGACAATGAGCTAAACACTGTGCGACATATTGGTTTGAATATTGTAGTTTTTTATCAATATGTTTTTCATTCGGAAGACAAAACATAAGGCCCAGCCTGGTTTTAATTAGCCGTTTCACCAAATTAGACCAATTTCAGGAGATTTTCCACCACATCAGTGACTCCAGACAACTTGAAGTGAAATGGTCACTCCTCAATGCAACATGGAGACTATGTTTTAGTACCACCATGATGGTGCTACCATTGATTACCTTACATACTTCCCAAGTGGTACACACATGTATCATAGAACATAGTTATATGGGTTCAGAAAAGGCTCATGGTAGATGTTTTATAATTATTTTAATAGGCATGTGACGGTTGTTTTTAGTTTTACAATTGTTCCAATAAGCATGTGACGGTTGTTTTTTTTTATAAAAAATGCTTCAGAACAACGTCATCAGAAACCTCCTTTTTTCAGCAAAATGAATAAATATATGTTTACACAACTGTACAGTATAAGTATATACTGAATATTATTATATTTCAGACCATCTGATGTGGAGTAACTGAAAATGAATATGACGTGACTTGAATGGATCTTTCATGGTATTTCATGTTAGATACTTTGTCAATTCATAAATATATCATATTTAATTAAAGTCAGATAAATATATCTTTTTTATTTTCAATTAACACATAGTATATTTTAAACCTATCTTGAATGAGTAATGTATTTCTAAATTCATTATCAAAACTTGAAAATTAACGCCTCTTTAAAGATACTTTCCATGGATGACAAAGACATTGTTGATTCAAGTTCTTCACGTATACCTTTCTTACTCAAGACTTGCAGAAAAACTTCCTACAGAAGAAAAATAACTGAAATATTCATAAAATGTTTAGTTGTTTTGCTTTTTTTTTAGCTCACATTATATAAGTGGATATCATCAAAAGGTAACAGTTATACAATTGATACTTGTTGAAACTCCATAATTACAGAATTCAAAGACAATTTCACAAATACTTCATTTATTAACAATCATGGTTTTGCCAGTAAAGACATCATCAGGTACAGACTGAAGTTATTTGTAAACAGGTTTAATCAACTTGAAACAAGTGGGGAGGAGGTTAAGTTGGTCTGGTCATTTAGAACTTTTTCTAGATTTGGTTTAGACTTTTATCTATGTCTAAAATTTTCAGACTATCTAGTTTTTTTACCTTTTTCATATATATATGTAAAAAATGTGCAGTTTTTTTTCTGAACAAATTGGCATTTAGCTTCAATAAAGTGCGATGCAAAGGTTGAATCCATTTTTGTAAATTTCCAGCTTCTAAAATGTTTTTTAATTCTTGTTTCTACGGAATGTCCTGTTTGACCTATGTATACACTATTGCAGTCTTGACATGTTAGTTGGTTTACACCACTGTTACTATACGTTTCGATTCTGTTGTTTTTGTTACATAATATTTTGCCTAGATTGATTGTACAATAAAAGGCAGGTTTGTAGATTTATTTATTCAATGTGTTATGTATTTTGTGAGGAGGTTTTCCAATGTAGCTTATCTTAAACGATTTTATATTTCATATATACGACTGATAATTTAATTAGTCTTAAGTTATTTTTGCCAGCATGCTTCAAGAGATTATTTTTGTTATTGGATTTTATTGTGCTTCTAGAAATATTGTTCTAAGACAAATTTCAGGTATTTTGTAGTGCATAAAACTGAACTTAACGTTTATCTTAAGAAGTTTATAAACGCTGCAATAAAATCTTATATTTCTGATGCCTTAACCTAACATTACAGTAAACACTGAAAATTTTCCTTCACTTGAAAATAAAAAAGGTTGAAATAAACTAAAATTGAATGACATATTCTTATTTCAGGGTTCAACTCAAGGTTTGTATATTATTTTGATAAGATAATCTTGGCTCTTAACATTTTTTAGTTACTTAGATACATATACAATCATGTTCAAGTACAGGATATCAAAGCTAACAGCAATGAGGTTGAATGTATTCGAGTTTCTGTTAGTGGTTATAAGGGGAGAATGCTTTTAGTTGGAATTCATTATAGACCACTGGAATAAAGTGATGAACTTAATGAGAAACTCTGTAGTGAGATAAAGAATTCAGCTGTTAATAAAAGTTATAATTATAAGAGTTTTTAATGTCAGGTATATATATGCATTGAGAAATTTTAGTCAAATCCTGTGAGAGAGAGAGGTTTTTAGAAATTGTTCAGGATAGTTTATTTCACCAATTGGTTGTACAACTTACAAGGAACAAGGCTAGTTTACATTTACTGCTAAGTTCTAATAAGAAAATGGTTGACAGGGTGGCAATTGGGAACATCTGGGTGGAAAAGATCATTGGTGGATTAGGTTTATTTTGTTGCAAGATAAGGAATGAAAAGATTTTGGTTCCAAATTTAAAAAAAAGAAGCAAATTCTGAAGATATGAGACAAGAATTATCTGTTGTGAATCGGGCAACTGAATCATCATCAAAACTGTTTTTGTTCTTACATTTAATAGTTGCCATGGCAAAGACCTTACCACCCAATATGAGTCATTTTATTTCACTATGAGAATACAACATTTTCACTAACTTGAAAAAAATACAACAGAAGTCTAGTCCAGGACTTCCAGGGTATCAATTTTGAACGTCCCATTCAAAAAGTTGGAGGTTTCAAAACACTATAGTCTACATTAAATGTCATTGTAACTGTACAACTTTATTGCATTAAACATTCCAAGCCAGGTCAGTTATGTGTGTGTGTGTGTGTGTGTGTGTGTAGGAAATGTTTCTTGGGACACCTCTAAGAAGTGTTACTGTAACTTCTAATAAAATAATACTTAATCAGTAATTAAGCTCAAACTAAACTATTCTGAATATTATGAGGAGTTACAAATGGAGCCAAATGAACATACATCTTGCTACACCAATAGTATAAATGACTAGTAAAGGTCAGAATTACTTTTAAAGTCATTCAACAATTTAAATGGCAACTTAAACTTTTAAAACCATGTCAAAATTTAATTTAGAAAAATTATAAAAAAATTAGGGTCTCAGCAATAAAATATAGACAGCAGAAACTTGAAACAAATTTTTTTTGGGTTTATGGAATCAAAGCCAGAACAACTTGAAGGCTTTCATGGATTCAGTTTTGGATATCTAAAGGAAAATTCTGGGCATATGATACAACAGGATCTCCACTAGCAGAAGAGTTTAGAATAATTTTACAATTAATTCTAACAGTAAATGAGCTGTAGAGCTGGACAATTAACTTGACTAACTGATTAACTATGACCATTGATCAAATTGATTAATGTCATGAAAATAATCAACTAATTATTAATTTTCTGTTAATCGAAATATCCAAGCAACCAAAATAGTGCCATTTTGTTTGTTTGATTGTTGATAATTACAAAGCTACACACTGAGCTATCTGTGCTCTGCCCACAGTGGGTACTGAAACCCAATTTGTAGCACAATAGATTTGTGTGTTTTTAGTCATCTTGAAAGAACAAAAGATTAGTTGAATGTAATCAGTTAATGAGTACGACAATTTCCCTAAATGTTCAGTGCTAGTAAGATATCATAATGTGTTAAGTTCAAGAGACAGTTGAACTAAATCACAGAGAAAAAGGTACATAGATTATATATATAATGACAATTAACAGAAAATAAGTGAATACAACCTTAAAACAGTTATATTCCTACTAATAATCAATCATTAGTTGGTTATTCCTATCATCAAACATTATTTTACAACCAATTTAAAAAAGAGGCAAAATACTAGGTGTAGGAATATTCCGACCCTGGTATTAATCCGATAAATTCAACTGATAATAAATCCTTACATCTTCAGAATTCGCTTAAGCAAACCAGCTTTCACCTGAATCACAATCAACACTATAGAGAGATGAACTTTGATGATAAATTGTTTGACTTTTAATGTTCTTTGTCATAAATCAAGCACTGCACCTCTCTTTCATACTTCCATGAAGGTTATCAACGTAGAAGCTGAAGTAAGCCTGCTCAAAATGTCATATATTACTCTTCACAATTCAGCCAGGTTGTTTCATCTCGATCTTCTCACTTTTTTTACACAAGTCACAGTTATGAGTGTTTCATCGACCTCTTTACCATCAAGATATTATTTAACCATAATTAAAATGACATTAAAGGACAACTAAATTAAACTAAACACCAAAATACTCAAAGCCAGCACTTATAATTCAAAAAATTAATCAAGCTTTCCCTTAAACTCCTTTAAATTAACTACATCTACCTCGCCTAAAGACAACCATTTCAAAGCCCAACCACCCTGTTAGGAAAATAAAGCTGTCTTAACTGAAGATGACTCCTACCCTGCCAAAATTAACATCTGTCCTCAAGTCTTACTATTTTAACCATTATATATGAAATAAGACGATGCATTAACACTATAAATTCCCTTAACAATCTTAAAAACCTCAAACAATGTCTCTCTAACTATTCTGTTTTCAAGAGAAAATTTCAGAGATCTTAACCTATCCTCTCCTTTCCATCCTAGGTAGTAGCCCTGCTCTGTACCCTTTCCAATAATTCAATGCCCAAAATAAGATAAGGAGCCCAAGACTGCACACAGTACTCCAAGTGTGCTGTATGCCTGGGATCACTGTCTCACTGGAAGAAGAATCTCCACTCAAAAATATGTTATACTCAGGTTATTCATTAAAAGAATTGCACCAATTTGACTGATATTTTCAACATCTCTATGTGATATAAATCTGAAATAATTTCACAGATTAGATCAAACATATAGCATACACTCGTAAGCTTTTCAAACTTGAAAATTTATCCTCTCAAGTACTTTTAACACCAGGATCTTCCTAATTCTGTGAAAATAATGTACATGACAACTATTAGAGAAAAGTACAGAAAAATATTATACTTTTAAATTATAACAAATAATACCCAACTTTAGATGTAATTTTGCAATTTGTGGGAATACAGGAAAATCTGAGGTGACCATTTTT